TTTTCCGCACGCAAACACGTATCCGAACTCCGCTTCGCGTCGTTCGTATAACTGTGTTTGCGTGCGGAAAAGTAACACTTTGCGCACTTGTTAGGAAAATAACTATTTCCTACAGCCGTGCGGAAAAATCGATTTTCCGCACTAATATGCGTGCGGAAAATGAGTTTTCCCGCACGATGCGGTAAAACTTTTTTTTTTGACATATCAGTGCGGAAAAAGTTTTTCCGCACGGCTGTCAGTGCGGAAAAAATTTTACCGCACTGATATGTCAAAAAAAAAAAGAAAAATTTTACATTTTTTCGTCTGTAGGAAAAATATTGTACCTAACACTTGCGGAAAATATTTTTCCGCACTCGGCTGCATCACCGAACTCCGCTACGCGTCGTTCGGTGAACGGCAGCCGCGTGCGGAAAAATTCATTTTCCGCACTTGTTAGGTAAATAGCTATTTTGTAATAAATGCACACTCACCTGTGATTTATTTTCATAAATTGTAGCCAATTTTTGCCACATTTCTACAGATGTATCACATGCCAACACATGGTTAAGTGGTTTTTCTTCTAGCCTACTAACAATTACTTCTTGTGCCTTTGCATCATTCATTAACCAATCAGTCACCTTTTTATCTGTAGATTCTCCCAAAGGCTTCAATATGTTACCTTTTACTATGCCATAAAGGTTTTTAGACTTTAAATGTATCATTGTTTGAAATTTCCAAACAGTCCAGTTCTCTCCATTCAGTTTCACGACCTGTGTGTGATTGTCTGACATTTTTCTGTGGCCTTTCTACCTTCTAATCTTCAATCTTCTATTTTTTGTGTCCCTTTTTTTTAACGTCTGTCAATTACCTGAATTAACTGACGGACAGTTCTTTTCAACCAGAAACTACCAGCAGCAGGTACTATTAACACAATCTGACAACTTGACCAGTTTTCTCTGTCAGTTTTAACCAGACACTACCAACAGCAGGTACTATTGACACAACGATAATTTGACAAATTTTCTCTAGGCTGGGTTATGTTTTTATCTATTTTTTCACTCCCGAAATCCTTTTTCTTCCTTCTTTATCGACCAGGCATGTCTGGGCCCATAACCTGCGGGGGGATTGCGAAAACACGACTCGAAACGAACACTCGATACGAAAGTGAATACGCATGGACCAGTCGAGTGACTTTCGTTGAAATGCATTCGCATGGAGTGCGTTCGAAATCAAAATTTCGGTGTAACATGGCGGTTTCGGTTCGAATCGAGAGTTCGTAATCCGCCCCCTGTTGTAATTAAGGACTTCCGGGCTGTTAATAAGGCACACACGATACTACTTTCAACGAAATATATTCTCAGTGAATTAATACGTCTGATAACTTCTTACAATTCTGACCAATGACCTATTAACACAGATAGACAGAACATCCCATTGATAAAATAGCTTTGTTTTGGTTGACTACATGTTTATGGGCCAGGGGGGGGTGAGGTGTGAAAGCGGCTAGGAGTAGGGATTCAAATGATTCCCCTAACTCCGCCCCCATTTTACTATCGCATGCTTGGCAACTCTGAAAATGAAACCAGAATCAGTGCTACAAAAGTGTATCTTTATCCTTATATTTTACATAATTTTAGAAAAAGATGCGGATACACTCACTGCGCACTGATTGACAAATGGAAATTGTCATGAAATACCTGCTCGTCGCATTTTGACATGACAATTGAATAGAAGCCGCTGATTGGTGGAAAGGTGGAATTCGAGGTGGGATTTATTTTTTTGCAGCGTTGCTAATTTTCATTGAAAAATAATCTCTTTCCACGTGTTAGAGAAAGATAAAAAATAAAACAAGGATTAATAAGTAGTGGGGAGAGATGCGGTTCCTGGCATGTAGTCAACCGATATTATTGTTTATTGTTCCGTCTATCTGTGTTAATAGGTCATTGATTCTGACTAACTTTTTTGACTGACAGTTTTGTCAACTAATAATAATTTTATTGATAGACTGTCAAACCAATAACATGCAATACAGTTATTTTTTAAATTATAATATCTATCAACCTATGCATCATTTTCATTTATTGTCAATGTCAGACCTTGCGAAGATTATTACCGGTCTAGACAACAAATTTTCTATTAATGAAATTCTTAACTCTAAAATGCTAAAAGAGGTTTTTCAAGCAATAGGTCATATTATTTTAAAGAATAACGCACATCTAACATGGGATTTTTGGGCTCTATGGATTTTGCCTATTTTTTGATATGTTGTAGAGGATTTAATTCTGAACCACCTTTAAATGGGACGAAATCTTGTAAGTATTACGGTCTTTGAGATATAAGCGTTGAAAGATGAACTTTTTTGCAACTTTTTGTGTGGAGAGTATACGAAAAACTGGTGTTTATCAGTCAAAATTTTGAAAGGTCGACATATTTTACGTCACTTACAAAATGTCAACATAGGCTAAGGCCGGGACCGCACTGGCGCCCACATTGACCCCGGTGCGGTCTCGGCCTTAACCTAAGTTGACATTAATTTTTAAGTGACGTAAAATATGTAAACTTGTCAATATTTTGACTGATGAATACCAGTAGCACCAGTATCTCGTATACTCTCCACACAAAATGTTGCAAAAAAGTTCATCTTTCAACGCTCATATCTCAAAGACCGTAATACCTACAAGATTTCATCCCATTTAAAGGTTGTTCAGAATTAAATCCTCTACAACATATCAAAAAATAGACAAAATCCATAGAGCCCAAAAATCCCATGTTAGGTGTGCGTTATCCTTTTGTGAATGCATCTCTTAGTGTTGGAAGAATTCCCAAGGCACTGAAATCTAGTATTGTTATCCCCATTCAAAAGCTTAATGGTACCATTCACGCTAAAGAGTTCAGACCGATCAATACACTGCCACCAATAGAGAAGGTTTTGGAAAGGGCTGTTTATGATCAATTGCTCGAACATATTACAAATAGCGCTATTTTGGTAAACAATCAGTCCGGGTTCAGGCAGAAGCACTCCTGTGAATCTGCATTACAATTAACTTTATGTAAAATAAAAAATGATCTGGATAATAATAAATATGTGGTGGGTGTGTTTCTGGACCTGAAAAGGGCATTCGAGACTATTGATAGAGAAATATTATTGTTGAAGTTGCAGAAATATGGAATTGGTGGTAGTGTGCTTGACTGGTTTGTTGACTATCTGCGGGATCGTGGACAGAGGGTGAGATTTGGTGGATCACTCTCTAAAGAGATGGTGAATGAAGTCGGTGTTCCTCAGGGCTCGGTCCTGGGCCCCCTTTTTTTTATTTTGTATTTTAACGACATTGAGCTATTTATTGATTGTGATTTTATTAACCTCTTTGCCGACGATACTTTCCTGGCTTGCAGTGATACAGATCTAAACAGGGCTGTGGATAAAATGAATGCTATTCTAAAGAATACTTCAAAGTGTTTGGTAGCAAATAAACTAAAGTTGAATGTCATGCGAAAACTAAAGCTATGATTTTTACAAACAAATTCAAGTATAAGAAGTATGTAGAAACTAGAAATGATATAATGTTGAGGGTGAATGGTGACTTAATTGAGATTGTGTCTAATATAAAATATCTTGGGTTTCAAATAGATAGTTTGTTGAATTTTGATAAGCACTTTGAATATATGAGCAAAAAAATATCAAAAAAACTGTATTTTTTTTAGTAGAATTGCAAACAACTTAACTATTCAAACTAAGATTTTTGTTTATAATTCAATAATACAACCACATTTTGATTATTGTTTTTCAATACTGTATATGTTTAACCTAAATAAACTAAATAGTTTACAAAAGCTTCAGAATCGCGGCATGCGGATTATATTGAAAGCAAGCCGTCTTACATCAATATCGGACATGTTACAAACAGTGGGTTGGTTTTCTGTTGAACGTAGAATTCACTTTTCTACCATGGTATTTATTTATAAGATCTTGAACGGGTTGGCACCGGAATATTTCAGCCAATATATAGTTTATAATAGAGACATTCAGGAATACTCAACAAGAAATATTAATAACCTGCATATCTCAAGAACCAATTATAGGAGTACAATGAATTGTCTCTTTTTTAAGGGATTCCAAGAATTTGATAGGCTTTCAAATAATGTAAAGGAATCTAATTCATTAGGAGTTTTCAGACAGAGATTAAGAATATTTGTATTGAATCAATAATGTTCAATGTTAGGCAATAGAGAACAAGTAGTTATAAGCTAAATTTGGGTTGGGTATGTTATAAGTACTGGTTTTGGTGAATATCTCGGTGAATCTATAGGGAATTATGGAATTTTGGTGTTTTGTGTAGGAGTGGAAATAATGTTTGAGTGAATACTCTTGTACTTTTGCTAGTTAAGGGACAAATTTATATTGTATAATTTTTTTTTGTATATTAGGTTAACCTATTTAAATAAAGATATTTTCAATTTTCAATATGCATGCATGGTCTATAATGGACTACCAGGAGGAATAAAAAGATAAATTGAAGCAATTTCTATGCGAAAATTGTTTCTATTCGTTTAGTGACTTTATAAATAAAAATGTAAATGTGAATGTTTAATACTATGTCTCTCTACGGCAACGCAATTTAGTCGCTCTATGTTATGTTATATAATAATTGTTGTGTTTATATACAAAATTTATTGAAATACTTGATGTTATTATTGTTAGTTTTTTATTATTAAGTACCTACTATTATTTTTTTATTATTACTATATTTTTTTTACTATTATCATGATTCAATATTGTGACACAGCCACATTTACATTGTAAATCTAAGGTGAATAAAATGAAATGAAAAAAAAATGAAAAATAGATTTATTGGTTAGAATTTTGACTCAATACGAGGGATTTTAAAGAGTGTGTGCCAATTGCAATGATTCCCACTGTACTAGTTTTAAAAAGCGCTTTTAAGTTAAAATAGAATACAGCTGTCTTTTTTCGAAAAGCAGTAAAAAAAATAAGCTCTATGATTTTTTCATTTAAATTTCAGTTTAATTTACATGGCCAGGGAACCGATAGATTCGATAAATGTCACGGCCGAAAATGTCCAGTGGGGCGTGCACGGAAATGTTGGACTGTTGAAGCCTACTTACGAAGATGAGGAGCAGGATATTTGGCCTCTATTGTGGTTTGTTCATTTGCCCGATATCACGCCCCAGCAGAAAGCTATTGCAAAAAATCTAGAGGATTTGGACAACATGACTATGGAGTAAGTAGGAAACTTTTGGAGATACATGTAAGAACATAGTATTGATTTAATTATTTTTAGGGTGAAACCATTTGAAGAAACCTGCTGTGAGTTATGTCAAACGTTGTTACCGCTCCTATCTCATCTTCGTTTGCATATCTCATCCAAGGATCATAAAGAAAATGAGGAACATTACAAATCGGAAATTTCGAAAGATGTAATGTAGATAGCGATCCATAAAAAACTTTTTTTGTGGAAAAGCAAAGAATTATCCTTTTGTTCATTATTTTGTATTCTATTTTTTGTTTTGGAATGTTTTACCAAAACTATGTAGGTGTCTACATACTATGTTTTGTAATAATTTTAAGTTTGAGTTGACAAAGTTATTTTTTTATCTAGAATAAGGGATGATCTTGGTAACGAAAACTTTATTTACTTTTCACGGACGTTTAGAATTATGTATTATGTTTTTAGTTTTTGATTGATTCATCCTGTGATGTTTATGTTTCGATATCAAATTTAGAATTGATTCCTATTATTTTTCTATTTGTAAAACCATTACAATAAACGATTTTCAAAAAAAAAAAAAAAATATTTATTTAATAAGTACTTTATTGACAACATTTTTATAACTAAGCCAATGGGCTTTTGACTTTGTTGACGCAACATTATTTATAAATTTGGTTTCTTCTCATTCTTATTAAAGAATTAATTAAATGTTAATTTCGCGTAAACACACAGGAGTGTATTTTTTACGATCCTGCGTCGACCGAGACAGCCGTAGAAGATTTGGATCTACACACTAGATCAATGGTACTTGATATGCACGTTGCATTTTTACCGGTTCCGTGTTTTACGCTCAAAAACTCTATGTCTTGTGCCGTTAAAAAGGAACCTTGAGTGCCTTAAGTCGATGGTGATACGTTGGTAGTTGTGGAGAACCATTTTCCAGGGGATCCCCGTTTATACGCACAGCTTATAAGAATACCCAGGTGAGTGGTAATAACTTTTGGGTGTTTCGACAACCCTATGGTATCAATTTCATTTCTATTTCAATTTGTTTGCGCGATTTTCCACTCGTAGTCCTTTTTACTAAATTTCAAATACTATTGCGTAAACAAATCGGTCCTTCGGCAGAATTTCTAATTACCTGTTGTCGAAAATAAACTTTAATTTTTAAAAGAAAGTAATATCTGGATAAAATTAAAATAATTTTTGCAGGAATTCATTTTTTTCTAAGCATACCCGAAATAGGTACCCAAATCGCAAATACCAATATTACCAGTTGTCGTCTTTTATTGGTGCACAGGGCAGAGATACGGAACCTACACTACGCTGCTATCACAGCTAGTCTTTCCATTTCATTTCAAAGTCTCTCCATTTCATTTCAATTTTCTTTCTCGTTTCAGTACTTTTCAATACGTTTCAGTACCGCGGTACTACATAGGTGGTATACGAGGCATCGCACACCGTTGCTGTGACGCGTTTTCAGTCGCGAGTCGCTCAACTATACTTATAGTCAGGGAGTGCCGTCTATTTTCCAATATCAATACATAATAATTAAAAATTAAATTATTTTATTTTCAATTTTCTTTCACTTTACAATTACAATTATTAGAATTTTCATATTAATTAAAATAAAATAAAATTAATTTGTTCTAAATTTTATTTTGCTCTACAACTATTACAATTACAATTACCTACAATTTTCAGAATAGTTTGACTGAAACTATTTTACTTTCGATTTTCTTCCTCTTTACATAATAAGAATTACATTAATTTTCACTTACCATGGCGCCCACTTCCGAGATTAAAAAGTTAGAGGCTAAGAGAAGCGTTTATTTGTCACGCATTACAGAGGTTTGTCGTCTCGCTGTTCAAGCGAAGACAGATAAAAGCATGTTAGGGCAACTTCAGGCCCGGTATAGAGACCTAAAGGATCATTATGAAAAGTTTGGGAAGATACATAATGAAATAATCATGGAGGTTTCTGAGGAAGGTGACTTCAAAGCTCAAGACAAAAAAAAAGACATCGATAATTACTATAACGAAACGATTTTTATTTACACAACACTCTTTCCTCAGATAAACACTCAAGGTACATCGGCACCGACTGCTCAATCCAACGTCGTTTCATCTATAAAGCTTCCACAAATAAACTTGCTTATTTTCAAGGGTGACCAAAAGCTTTGGCCCTCCTTTTACAACCTTTACAAAAAACTAATTCATGAAAATCCTTCTTTGTCTGATGTAGAAAAATTACAATATCTCTTTGCCTATTTAGAAGATGAACCTCTAAAGCTTTTAGGCGGTATACAAATTACAAATAACAATTATCTAATAGCATATGACAAGTTAGTGAAACGGTACCAAAATAAACGCCGTTTGGCTTCAAATGCTATGCATTCAATTATGTCGGCTACCTTAAAAAACGATACCGCTAGGGATATAAGGTCATTACCAAATTGTTTTTGAGAATCACTAGCAGCTCTGAAAGCTCTTCAGTTTCCCATAAATGTATGGGATTTTGTTTTATTTACATGGCTTTTAGATAAATTAGACATTAATACCAGCATTACATTTGAATTAAAATGTAGTGACATCGAAATTTCGACTTAAGGCCGGGATAGACGCTCCGTCATGTCCATCAACTTGCTTGCGCAAACTCAAATTGTACCAATTTTTGCAGTGTTAGTGCTGATAAGTCCGTAGACTTATTAAATCTGCACAGACAATTGTTTGGCTTGAATGAAATCAAACCTGTCAGATATTTTCCTGCGTATACAGATTTGTCTAGCGATAAGTTGTACTGTGTGGCATGTATGTATAGTCGTATTCACGATAGAGTTTGAATTTTGACCGTTATTTTCACCAGTTGAAAATAAATAAAATCCCCAGATCTGTCCCTTTTTCTGACCACTATCAAATAATGATACATGACATTTTGATTTGACATATAAAAATATCAGATTCGGGTCTTCGAATTTTTGTGTAAAATCTTTCAGTTTTTTGCCGTTTTCTGCATTATTTTTTTATTTGTTATTATCGCAATCGGTTTTTTGGTTTTTTATGTAGTGTTCTGTGCCTTTGTGTTTCGGTGTTGCGTTTCAAACCTGGTTTTAGTTTGGATTTAAGTGTTTACTTTTTTTTATAAGTGTTTACTTTGGACTCTAATTTTTGGATTTTTAGATTTTAATAACTTAACTTCCTTTAAAGAAATTGAAAATATATTTTTATTCTGAAATGTATATCACTTTTCTGAATACGACCCTGTCGTTTATCCCAGCTGACGGAATCGAAGCACTAACGCATGCTGGCAACCTATAGTCTGGCAAGTGGTAACTTCGTAGAGACGAAAGGGGGAAGAAAACTGGGGCGTTACCTAAAAATATTCACTGACACCTCAACTGACACCGTCTGATGACAGCCATGTCTTTGAGTTCAGTGGCACCGAAAACACCAAGGAAATAAACCAATAAAATTATTAGAAAAAAGAATCTCTAGTTTCGCCAATAACCACGCCACTGCGTGCTGTCATTCAGGCTCTAACCAATAGAATCTTGTTTCTGAATAATCACGCCTCTCCACTTCCATCATTTCGCAATGTTGCCTGATTTTTTCCTATTTCAAAATATGACACATACCCATATAGCAAAAAAAAAAAAAAATGTCACCAACTTGTTTATTATTTTGTTTCTAATTTCCGTCAAGTTTGGCAAAGCAGCAAATTCTTTTGCAGTTCGCCGTTTCGCTAGCCAGACAATAAAGAAAAAGTTTACTAGGAATGTCAACGCGAACTGTCAACTTCACTTTCTATCGTGATTACGACTATATGTATGTAGGTACCTATGTATGTAACAGAGTTTGTTCAACTTATTAATTACGCCTCTTATTTCTGCTAGAAAAAATTTCCTTGTGCTGGGTGCAGGCGAATTTTAAATTCAAAAAGATAATATAGTAGATTCAAGCATGTCAGACCTACGCCTCATGTCGAGAGACTTCCTCACGAATTTCATCAATTTATACAGGGTGTATATTTTAAGTGATACCACTATTACTATATCCGAAACGGTAAAAGCTACAAGGTCGGTTAAATTAGAAAAAAGTTGCCTTTTTTGATGCCCATTCAAGGCTTGCTTACAGTGTTGCCAAATTCCTTTTCGTTTAATAAATACAGGCTGATTTCTAAGAAACGCCTAAAAATATTTCATCAATTATATCGAAAACTATTGATTTTGGAGAGACAATTTGAATTTGATGGTTTTTAAATTTTTTTCGCTCTACAACATGGCATCTTCAAAATTTGAATCAGACGTTTCGGGATCGAGCTACCATCATCAACTTTATTTTTTTAAATACGGACCTGGATTTTTTGTCATTTTAAGGAAGCGCTTTTTATTCCCTTTCTAATGATATGACTCTTGAGTATGATTGACCGACGTTTCTGCTCCAAAAAGTGATAAAAAGTGATTTTTACCAAAATCTTACCTTAATTCGGCCCAAGTTATGAACCTGTATTTAATAAACTAAAAGGAATTTGGCAACACAGAGGCGTCAAAAAAGGCAACTTTTTTCTAATTTAACCAACCTTGTAGCTCTCACCGTTTCGCATATAGCAATAGTGGTATCACCTAAAATATACACCCTGTATAGGAAAAATTCATGTCTTTGGGTGATGAAATCCAAAGAATACTCAAACACAAAAAAAATGCAGCTTATGAGATAGGTACCTTTAGAAAAATTAAATTAATGCTGTGAAGATATTATTGCTTTTCTCATAACTGTATCCATCCTTCCAATTTGAGGTGTAACTATCTGAAGCAATTCCAAGTTTCTTCGTTCATTCGCAAATAATTAAGAGGCCAGCAACAAATTCAAGCGCGCGAAATTCATTCTTTGTCGCCGAGTTCAAAGTAGGACCGTGATAGACGACGTTACGGCAAATATTTCCGAGATAACGGAAGGGTGTGATCAAATTGCATGGAAGGTGCATAATAAATCCTATGGGCTTTTGTGGAGGCAAAACTAATACACCTATCATATTTAATATAAATTAAAAAGTATACAGTTATAATAATACTTTTATAATTTACATTGTGCTTTTTATTTAACAAATAAGAATGTGGAGAATGAAATGTGCGGAAACTCAAAAATATATTACGAAGATAATAAAATTTACCTATACAAATACAGCAAAATAGATACTTGAAATGTTTACACCAAAAAAAAGTGAGGTGGCGTAGTTACGAGGGTGGGAGAGATGATGTTTATTACATAAAGAACTTCCAGAAAACCTAGAAAAATAATAAAAAGGAAAAGTGTTAATTTCACACATTGGTGAGATTGCTCATGAAAACCTCGGACACATCGATTTTTGATTTCAGTTGCCGTTTTTCTGATGGTAATATCATGTATACAGGGTGACCCAGAAACAATTTGTGACAGCTAACTTTATTTTTTTAAATGAAAACATTAATTTTGAAGTGAAAACTTCTTTAGAATCGTTGGGAGTGATGTGAGACTCGATGAAACGAAAAAGCGACACTTTTTTAACACGTTTATATTAACACACAACAAGAACCTGG